AGGCTGCCTCTTCTGCTGAAACTCTTTCCACATTCCAAGCATTTATATGGTTTTTTCCCTGTATGATTCATCTGATGTAAAGTGAGAGAGTTAGGCCAACAGAAGCTCTCACCACACTCCAAACATTTATAGGGCTTCTCTCCTGTATGGATTCTTTGGTGGGAACTGAGATATTTACTAGTACTGAAGCTCTTTCCACACTCAAAGCATTTGTAGGGCTTCTCTCCTGTGTGCATTTCCCAGTGAGCCATAAGGGTGGATTTACAAGTGAAGGTTTCCCCACACAGAAGACACTGGCTCCAATTTGTCCACTGATCCATTTTGTCTTGGGATGGGATTTGCCACATGTCTCCAAGGTAAGGAACAGGGGGTTCATCTGTCCACTGTCCTTTAACTTCCGTCTTTGTTGTCCACCCTTCACCCCAGAATTTTTCCCACAACATCCTGCCTGGTTCTGCTTCACTTTCAATTGTCTTCCATTCACCTCCTAGAAAGAAAAAGAGACAAACTAGCAAGGGCCCAAAAGACAAGAGCAACTTGAAATCAAATGCTGCATCTACAGTGCAGGATTAATGCAGTTTGACACATCTGTCCTGGCTCAATGCTATAGAATTATAGGACTTGTAGTGTAGCAGAAAAATGGGACAGAGAGACACCACAGACTGAAGGAAAGAGAGTTTATTCTGAAAAGAACACAATTACGCTAGCAGGCTCAACAGGAAATATTTTTCCAAAATATGCTGAGCCAAGAATGTCCAAAGGACCAATCTTTTATAGGATCCCACAAATGTAACGAGCAATTCTCCCTCCCTCTTTGGTCCCCTAGTTTCACAACATTCAGCATTTCTTGCTAAGCAGACATTGTTTTCAGAACATAGGAATCTTAGAAAATGTTTACAGTACAAGATGACTGTGGTGTTATCAATGTAGCCTTGACGGCAGCATAGAGCACAGAGTTAAGAGAAACAAATAGACAGAAAATTTTCCAAAGTCTCATCTAGAATCCAAATTGATTATCTAGTCTGACCCAAATTATAGGGAATCATGGACAGTCATTTTAAAATACAATTTTCAGGCAATTGAGACTTTTAGCCTTCCCTGTCAGAGAATTCTGGTGCCACAACAAATTACAAATCCCATGATTCTATAGGCTGGACCCATGACAGTTAAAGTGATGTCAAACTGCATTAATTCTGCAGTGTGGCAGAGCCAAAGATTTAACACAAGGTGGGAAAGGCTGCATGAGGCCCTGCAAGGCCATTTCTGAGTCCCCCCCCCTATTTTTTTTGTAAAGATGAATACCAAGCTCCCAAGAGGCATTTTAAGGATGCTTTTTAAATTAAAAAATATATGTTGGTGGGTGTGACAAGAGGATATAACCATCTAAATTCCTCTGAAGAGCCAATGTGACCACTCTAATTCCTACTAATTGCCTGTCTCTGATTTAACAGAAATAATTTCTGCTGTGGACGACAGAATAGGGCAAAATAGAGGTAGCTGTTGTATATTAATCCAACTCAACTAAATGGCTTTTACTGAGAACTTGTGTTATATAAAGTCTTCCATTTGGCCAGAAATCAGCTCTTAAGGTAGTGTTCTTATTCCACATACTAAAGACATCTGTTCTGGGAGGTACAACATACATCTACATTTGTGATTGAAGATACTGTACTCTACCATTCCTGAAGCCACAGGCTAGGTTAGGAAGCCTAGGACAGGTGGCATGGCATACATAACTCTGTTCTCCAACAAAGGGGAACAGGTGGGGAATTCAGAAGGAAGAGCTTCCACCACTGTCCCTCAGCAGAATCCATGAAAAACAAACCCATAGTTTGTTTCCAATCAGAGCTAGGCTTCTAAACATGCTGGCAGGGAAAGCAGGAACTACAGAAAACTCCAAAATCCAAAAGGAAGCAAAAGGAAGGAAAGCTGCTGCTGGGAAAAAAAAGAGCCATTCCAGAGGCTCAGTATTATGCCAGGCTCAGTACACATACCATTGAGTTAGTAGCTTCCTCTTCTAGCAGTGGCATAGAATCAACAGAGGAAGTTAAGGCCTTCACAGCATCCTGAATTTAGCTGATTGGTTACCATGGAAAGTATGGTGCTGGATTAGGTAAACCTGGCTGGAAGAGGATAGCGCTGGATTAGGTAGACCTGGCTGGGAGAGGATAGCGCTGCTACCTGGGCGCAGGCCCTCCCAGCTGGGTACTCTGTTAGTGAGCAGGTGAGGGGAAGTGGGCGGGGGGCAGTGTGGCTCTAGCCCATAAGAACACCTTGACCTTGACCAGGATACCTCTCCGGAACACAGCCCACTTCGAGTGTATGTACCTCAGCCTGAAGACCAGGGATAGTTTGGGGATTCTGCTAGTCTACTGACCACCCCGTTGTCTAGCAGACTCCCTGACTGAGCTTACGCAGCTGGTCTCTGAGCTTTTACTGGAGTCTCCCAGACTTTTAGTCTTGGGGGACTTCAATATTCCGCTCGAGACCAGCTTAACAGGTGCGGCTCGGGAGTTCATGGAGACCATGACAAACATGGGCCTATCCCAATTGGTCAACGGGCCCATGCATTGTGCAGGTCATACACTCGATGTGGTCTTTAGTACGGAGCGGAATATCCGTGGGCGGAGGTTGTAAATACCTCCGCAATGTCATGGAC